ACAATAAGGTTAGGTTAGGTTAGGTTAGGTTACATTCGGTTATGTTGGGTTGTGCTTGGTTTGGTTGGGTTGTGCTTGGTTTGGTTGGGTTGTGCTTGGTTTGGTTGGGTTGTGCTTGGTTTGGTTGGGTTGTGCTTGGTTTGGTTGGGTTTGGTTGGGTTGCGTTTGGTTAGATTAAATTTGGTTTGGTTTGATTAGGTTGTATTGTGATGTGCTTTGTGTGTGTGTGTGTGTGTGTATGTGTCCAGACATTCCTTAAGAGCGAAAATAAATTAATTTTTCGCTCCTCAGGAATGTGTAGATACCCGTATAGTAGGCCTATATATTTACAGTTAAACCTCCATATAACGGATTTCTCACTATATATAATCCGTTTGCCGGGAATTTCACATTTAACGTCGTTTGATGGAGGTTTCACATATCACAAACCCTCGACATAACTGATTTTCCTCTCGATATAGTCCGTTAAATATAGGTTTCATTATAACACATCTCGTACAACTGTAACTCTTAATGAATAACGAAGTGTGTGTGTGTGTGTGTGTGTGTGTGTGTGTGTGTGTGTGTGTGTGTGTGTGTGTGTGTGTGTGTGTGTGTGTGTGTGTGTGTGTGTGCCAGTAAGAGTGAAGCTTGAAGTTTTTTTTCAACATTAAAGAGCAAGTTTATGAGATGTTTTAATAGGCGAGGAGAGACCAATGACAATGATCACTTGTATCTGTCAAAATAACCCCAGGTGTGTTGTCGAGCTTCGTGTGTTGAGGAAAAAGGTGTTACCAGCTTGACTCTCACGTGTTGAACGTAAGTAATTATGTTTATATGTTAATTAGCAAGATTTAACTGGGTTATTTATCAGTTTAGTTTATTTTAAGTGATCAGGTTTCGTTGGGTTTGGTTAGGTTAGGTTGCATTAAGATCATCTGTCACTACCAAGGGGGTGGAGGGTGTCGGTCAAGGTGTAAGGAGGTAAATGGGTGTCAAGAGGGAGTTAGTCAGGTGTCATAATGCCATCTGTCAAGGATTACATCCAGCCTTGACACCCTGACATTCTTCTGCGGGTTGACCACACACACACATTTGTTCCGAGGTCTTATTACCTCTTACTTATTACCTGGTGGTTGTCTGTTACGTGTGCTTGACTCCTAACATATAACCTAATATAAGGTGTGTGTGTGTGTGTGTGTGTGTGCGCGCGCGCGCGGGCGGGAGGGAGGGGGCTGTTGTGGATGCAGCAGTGAGTGTGTGTGATGGTAATGAGTCTTGGCCACGTCCCACCTGTGGTGACGCCAGACCCGGCCTCCACCCCCCAAGCTTGTTTACACACAGCAAGTATAGCGCAGCACACACTACCCGTGCACGCACTCACTCATCACCCGTGCACGTACTCACACAACCCGTGCACCCACTCACTCATCACCCGCGAACGCACTCACGCACAACCCGCGCCCATAATCACGCACCTGCCACACACCCTACGCAGAGTCAACACCTGTCCGGGTTTCTCTTGACCTCCTGCTTGTCACGTGTAGGTAAGGGACATAGACGTGTGGTTCTCCCATCCCAAAGGTTCCATTCCAGCCGTGTCCACACTCCAGTCGTGACTTGAGACGTGTGAGTGAGGGACACGGAGGACATGGTGATGCCCCCCACCCCCCAGCTTCCCCGTGTGTCCCGATATAACTAGGTCTGGAATAATTCCTGAAGGGACTGTCGACAACATGTCACCTTTTGTAACGCTTACCTTGTTTAAATCTACCATGGTCGTGCAGGTAAGGGTCACTCAAATGTTTTTTTTCTGCGGCCATGATTCTACCCCAGGTGTGTTCAGCCCTGGAGGAGGCGAAGAAAAAGGTTCTTCCTTGTCGTCTGGTCCTGGACGTGGAAGTAAAGTGACTTGACACACGACGTTGGCATGCTGTTATTCTTCTGCCCTGGATCTACTGGTGGCCGTGTTTGAAGACAGGACGGGCAGGCCAACATACACACACAGACACACACACACACCACCAAGGCTGACCGTGATGCTCGTGCCAGGAACAACAGGAGAGGAGTCAGTCTAGTCATGGTAGGAGGGAGGAGGGATGTGTAAGAGGAGGCAAAGGAGAAGAAGGAGAGATGGGTGATAGGAGAAGGAGGGATGGGTGAGAGGAGAAGGAGGGATGGGTAAGAGGAGAAGGAGGCAAGAGAGCGATGGAGGGAGTTAGGTCGGTGTACACAGGTCCCTCCTGACACCCATAATAAGTCCACACACGAAGCTCTTGACAATATTAAACGAAATGACCCATTGAGGTTATTTTGAGAACCTAACCTAACCTACATTCAGGCACCAACTACGACACGACGTACTGTGTTTATTGCCGCAGAACACACACGCACGACATGCATACAGGACCCAGCCAGTCAGTCACTACTTATTTGGTGACGTAAATAAAAAAAATATATATATCTACAAATATAGGGATTTTTTTCCTCGTCTTTTCGTCCATAAACTTAAAGAAAAATATATTGTCTTAGGTAAGGTTAGGGCGGCGTTGATTGACTATTTATCTTTTATTAGTCAATTTTGTGTTGAGAGAGTGGGCAGATGACCTTGCGTATGTGTGTGTTGGATTATAATAACAGGTATCACGAATTTATTATATTTATTATAATGTGTCTTGTATAGAGATGAAAAACACACACACACACACATAACCACAATCAAACCATTATCACATATCTGGACAAAAATAAGAGGTCTGCCTTTATTGTGTGAGTAGTGAGGTGAACTTGCTCACTTCCTCACCATTTAAAGGTTGTGTGTGTGTGTGTGTGTGTGTGTGTGTGTGTGTGTGTGTGTGTGTGTGCACCTCATGGTAATGTCAGCAGGCAGTAGGAAACAAAAGCCTCTCTTCCCTTCTCTTAACTGTCTGTCTCTTAAGGTCGAACTTCATGTCCACTAGCTCAAACTTTATCACCTCTAAGATCAACAGGTAATTAATCCCTTGGCGTGTGTGTGTGTGTGTGTGTATTTAAATTATAATACAGACACAAGAAGAGGAACATCCGGGTTGCTGAGAGGGAGATACTGTCGCGCTGACAAAAGTTTTCGCTCTGTGGTAAAACTGAGTCACGGGAATGAATCTCTGAATTTACTTATATTTACCCTTACTGTCATCTGCTGTGTTATCTCATTTGGTGGTTTATGCTGCTTCATTTTTCGAAGGGAGAACTTTTTACCCTGATTGCATACACCCACCAATAAAAGTCCTGTCAGTCTTACGCCTCGTCCATGAACGGCCTTTGGGATGGTCAGGTGTGGCCCGCGGGATGACGGTAAAATTTATCATCCCGTGAAATAATGAAAAAAATAGATATAATCATGTTTATTTAGTAAACTGTATTTTACATACTTAAGATCAGACAAAACCCAAATGAGGTATTCCTTTCAACCCGGGTAAGGCAATGTGTGAAGCTGTGAACTTCAATCCTGCAAATATGTGATATAGCACTTGTGTTGGCCCTGAAGAGGGTAACTAAAATACGAATTGGCCCTCGAAAGGTTTTGAGTTTGACGCCACTGGTCTACTGTGTGATGTCTCAGATTCACGAGTCTCAGTCTGGTTCATGGATGGTAGAAAGGACTAACATGACTTTTTTTGTGGGTGTAATGTACAAAGAAAGATAAAAGTCGTTTTTCTTGAAATTTGGTGAAAACATATGCCGAAGGGCTAAACTTTTGGTGCTTGCCAACAACGAGTATGTAACTGTGGTAGGGCTCTTATAATGTTTCACGAGTTACATTTAATCTTCGGACAAAACCGCGACACAACTTTTGTCTGATTGTACATACACTCAAAATACTATCTGTAAGGGGGGGTGGGGGGGTGGAGTGTGATCGATGAATTTCAGAATGAACACTGTGACTCCTGGTGACTCTTGTTGTCTCGGTTGGGTTCCCAAAATACTTCGTCCGTTGTGACATATTTCAACACAATTTTGTATAGATAGTTTTTTGGGTGACTGCACAGTACAAACATGACATATATATAACGTAAGCATTAACATACTTCATTACCAAGTCCCAGGTTGCTGATCAGACTTTCTGCCTCATTTACACTTAATTGCAGGATTTCAATATTTTCTCTTCCTTTGACAACACAACACAACACAACACAACACAACACAACACAACACAACACAACACAACACAACACAACACAACACAACACAACACAACACAACACAACACAACACACGTATATTGTTTCTCACTGTTGGTCTTTTTATTTATTTATGGTCCTTTCTTTTCTTCTTCTTCTTCTTCTTATTATTGTTATTATTATTATTATTATTATTATTATTATTATTATTATTATTATTATTATTATTATTATCATTATTATTATTATTATTATTATCATTATTATTATTATTATTATATTATATTTGTATATAATATTTTTAATATTTATTAATTTTAATTAATAATAATTATTATTATTAAATTATATTATATTTTTATTTCATATTTTTGTAATATTCTTATTAAGTTTTATGTTATTATTATTATTATTATTATTATCATTATTATTATTATTATTATTATTATTATTATTATTATTATTATTATTATTATTATATTATATTTGTATATAATATTTTTAATATTTATTAATTTTAATTAATAATAATTATTATTATTAAATTGTTATATTATATTTTTATTTCATATTTTTGTAATATTCTTATTAAGTTTTATATATTATTATTATTATTATTATTATTATTATTATTTATTTATTTTTTTTTTTTCGCTCCCAGGCCCTGATGTGGGTCATTGACCTGTGCCCTGGTGGGTTTATCCTATAAAAAATAAATATAAATATAATGCTATTAATGTATTACATGTTAGAGTAGGAACGTTGGTGCGTGGATGGTAAGTCATGTCTTGCACACCAATTATGTACCATTCTGCAATAATATTATTGCTGTTGTTGTTATAATGTTTGTGTTTGTTTCAGCCATGACGACCGGCTGGACAAGATGGAGTGCGGTGGTGGTGGTGGTATTGACCTGCCTATGCCTGCCACCCCTTGCTGTCTCCCACACTCTGCCAGTCATGGTCAGTATACCTGTCTACCTCTACTTGTCTACCTCTCTCCTTTTCTCCCTGTATCTCTATCTCTACCTGTCTACCTCTACTTGTCTACCTCTCTCCTTTTCTCCCTGTATCTCTATCTCTACCTGTCTACCTCTACTTGTCTACCTCTCTCCTTTTCTCCCTGTATCTCTATCTCTACCTGTCTACCTCTACTTGTCTACCTCTCTCCTTTTCTCCCTGTATCTCTATCTCTACCTGTCTACCTCTACTTATCTACTTCTACTTATCTACTTCTCTACCTGCTTACCCGTATCTCTATCTTTACCTGTCTACCTCTGTTTGTCTACCTGTCTTACTGTACCGTACTTCTCTCCCGTTCTCTACCTCGTTACCTTTCCCCATTCTCCCTCTCTCTCTCTCTCTTCCTCATTACCTGTGAGTGCTGGCCTTGGAGGATGATTATGTAGTTGGTGAGTGAGTGGGTGTTTGTGGTGCATGGTGAGTGAATGATGAGTAAGTCACGAGTGAATGATGAGTAAATCTTGAGTGAATGATGAATAAATAGTTGACTCAGTCACCCACCATTCACTCCCTCCTTCAGGATCACGGCGAGGTACCACTAACCGACTTCTCCTGTATCGGGAAGATCATCGGCGGTTACTATGCCGACGTCTTCACCGAGTGTCAGATGTTCCATGTGTGTACGATCAACGAGAAAGGTAACAAGACCTACTGTAGCTAACATGTTTCCTAACCTAACCTAACCAAACCTCACCTAACCTACTGTAGCTAACATGTTTCTTAACCTAACCTCACCTCACTTAAGCTACATACAGTAGCTAACATGTTTCTTAACTTACCTCACCTCACTTATACAACAGTAGCTAACATGTTTCCTCACCTAACCTAACCTAACCTACTGTAGCTAACATGTTTCTTAACCTAACCTCACCTCACTTAAGCTACATACAGTAGCTAACATGTTTCTTAACCTTACCTCACCTCACTTATACTACAGTAGCTAACATGTTTCCTCACCTAACCTAACCTAATCTACTGTAGCTAACATGTTTTCGAAGTTCGTAAACCTAACCTAACTATAGCTAACATGTATTCTAAGTTCATAAACAGGGAAGGAATTAGATATGCGTCTTTATCATGGGTAATTTTTAACCACTTCGAGTCTATAAGATGATGTTTTTCAGTCAGTTTTTATGGTGACATTTTCAAAGGGTGCAAACTTAGTTTTGTCCAGGCGTGTTTAAGAAACTGAGTTGAGATGGATGAGTAAGGTTTGGGATTTTTTTTTTTTTTTTTTAGATGGCTATGGTAAAGAGAAATATTATGAACAATATAAGCATAGGTTAGGTTTAGTTTGCAGTAGGTTAGGTTAAGTTAAGTTTAGTTTACGTTAGGTCAGGTCCTAAACACCCTGGCCCAAAAATCAAACGTCCCGTGGCCCAAACGTCCTAGAACAGTCAGACTCAATATCCATTTTTTTTCGCAGGTAAAATCCACGACTACACTTTCCGATGCTTAGCGGGCACTGTGTTCGATCAAGAAACTCGAGTGTGTGAGCGTTCTGGCGAGGTGAACTGCAGCCAATCAGAATCCTTCTTTCACCTCAACAATGATCTCTATGGTCCAGGCATCATCCCTCCCACTGCGTGAGTACAGTACAGTATCATCACAACAAATTGAAGGAAACAGTTATTTTATTTAGGTTTATATGAGGCAATAATTATTCAGTGCCGTTAAATATTAGTCAATAATAATTCCATATAATATTTTTTACATATTTTGTAGTTAATATAGTTGTACAATCAACTACTACTTAAAACCTGATGGTCGTCTCTCCTGAACCACGAACCCCTGAGAGATTCATCAGACTCGTGAACCCGAAGCAGTAGACTGATACATTATTCTGTCGATAAATGCTTCCTGTTCATGAGTCTGAATCTCTCGGGGGGTGGGGGGGTGGTCATGGTTCAGTGGGAGAGGTGATCGAAGGAGTTTATTAGTTGATTGTACAATACTGAGATCCTAATGATAGTAATTCCAATTTTAAGGATTAACGTGGCACCTTTGACAATGATACTCTGTGTATTTGTATGACGCACCTTCCAACACCACTGTCATGCTTTCATTTACTGTACTGTTTTTCTTTCCTGCATATAAATTTTGATAATCGATATAATATATCAGATGCAAATATCACAGTTTATTTCCAGTTCTGTGTAAAGTTTTGAAGTGGATGAAGAACACAATTATAACACTGCGCACTACACCAGTTGTGGGACAGAATGGACAGTTTTTCAGTTGGTGGTGACAGACGAAGACCAATAAATGACATCTTGCGATATGATTTATTGACAGTTGTATAACAAACTGACAAATACAGCAACAAATAACGTAAATTAATTGTAGGTGACACATACTTTAAGCTGGGGCATTCACTGTGTTTAGTAATGTCACCTACGTCATTTGTTGGTGTATTTGTTAGTTAATATTTTACAACTGTCAATAAAACATATCGCAAGATGTCATTTATTGGTCTTCGTCCGTCACCACCAACTGAAAAACTGTCCATTCTGTCCCACAACTGGTGTAGTGCGCAGTGTGTTATAATTGTTGTACTTGCAGTACAGTGTTATCATAATACTGTCGATTAGTTTAGTACTAATATCGTATAACCTTTATTTAATGGACTATATGAGGAAGAAAATCAATTTTATCAAGGCTCCATTAGATGTGAAACCTCCATTTAATGAACTCTATAGAGATGAAAATACATTATATCGAGGGGCCATTAGATGTGAAACCTCCATTTAACGGACTATATGGAGATGAAAATCCGTTATATCTAGGAGCCATTAAATGCGAATCCCCCTTCCCCCATCTAACTGATTATATAGGAGAGAAAAGTCCGTTATATGGTAGTTTCACTGTAGTTTCAATGGCAACCTTATTATTATCATTTTTTTGGGAGGGGGGGGGGGGTTGCTTGGGGGGTAGGGGCGTGAGATAGTACCAGTCACTGATATTGTAAGAAGAGGTCTTGTGATAGTTGTGTTGGACCAATGTTTATTCCATCTTGTGGCCAATTACTTACGAACTACAATATAGTATCGTTAATGATAAGAAAATTAACCATTCAAGTAGTACACATAATCCCTACCCCTTGAGAAAAAGCTCTTGTATCGACCTTTACTGTACCTATTCTTGCTTCTTACAATTCACTTTCACAATATTGGTGTGTGTCTTGAGTTGGTCTTCACAAGTGCAGTAGTTTTGCTTCTGCTTTTACAGTCATAAATCACAGCTCTAGGATTGTTTGTTTGTTTTTTCGTCTAACAGTTTTTGTCTATAATGGTTTCTTATTACACTGGTGGTGGATAGCTGAGGGTTAGTAAGATCAGTGTTTTCTATACATTTTATACCTATTTAAGAGTTTTATTGTCACTTGTCACAAACACTCATTATAATGTTAAAAGGACTTGAGGTCATTAGATTGTACAGTCAGTCAAAAATTTATCTATACTGTATGTGCAAAATTGTGTTGAAAAAAATATGCCACAACAGACCCCAACCGAGACAACAGGAGTCGCAGTGTTCATTCTGAAAAATCATCGATCACCCCCCAAGTAGAGATAGATTTTTGAGTGACTGTACAGTACATGCTGTAAATATCTTATATTGAAATATACTCAGAAACATGAATAGAATGTATTGGAGAATTTTCACTAGACAAATCATTATTTTGTCATTGGGAAGTCAATTATGTATAAAAAAATAGTTTTTGTGAGCTTGAAAGTTTGTTTTGAGAATTTTTAATGTTTGCAAGACTTTTACTTAATACTCATGATATTGAGGAGGCGATTATTTTACGATACAGAGTAAATGAAAGTACTGTTTATAGTTTTATGATTTGCATGCTTTTTGGGTAGAGTTCTGTATAGTCAACTAATATAGTCCTCCGGTCACCTCTCCCCCTGAACCACGAACCCCTGAGAGATTCAGACACGTGAACCCGAAACACAGTAGACCAATACATTATTCTGTCTATAAATCCTTTGGGTTCATGAGTCTGAATCTCTCGTGGGTTCGTGAATTAGGGAGAGGGATGAGCGGAGGACTTTATTAGTTGACTCTTTTATTAACGCCGTTAAGTTAAGAGTTATTTTGTCTTCTAAATATATCAAAATAAAGTTAGGAAGTCAGAGCAGTCCACCACTAGCTATCATATCTCCTATTTAACATGTTAGTTATTTTGATGCTAATACTTGCTTGTACTCTAGTATTTTCCTTTTATAACTTCGCTCTGGGGTCACCCTGGGTTCACCCCCACCCCCTATGTCTCCACCTAGCCTTGTTTCCTCCTTCACCCCCAGAGACTCGGAGGGCACCCCCAGCGCCGCTAAAGTGCAGGTTCTGGACCCCACTGTCGCCCTCATGGGGGCTTCTGACCCTCCCACTGTCCCTCCTGCCACTTCGGAAGTTACTACACCATCCCCTCCTCCTGCTGCTCCTTCTCAACCCCAGCCTCAGCCCACCAGCTCCCCACCACCTCCTGTGATCCCTCCAGGAGTCACTGCCTCCACTACTCGTATGTCCACTTCAACTTCCTCCTCCGTTACATCTGCCTACTCCTTTCCACCCTTGCCCTTCACTGTCAGCAGAACATCCACTTCTGTGTCCGCTTCCTCACATGTCCGCATCCAGACGCCCCTTGCGCAGATCTCCCTTCAGCAGGGTGTGGACCACTCTGTCCTGCCTGCCCCCCACCTCCGGCCCTCCTTGCTCCGCCTGGCAGCTGAAGCTCAGAATGCAGCACAGGCAGCAAAGATACTTGAGGATCACAACCCCACCGCGTCCCCCACAGTCACCGCTCAGACACCTGCTAACTTCGAGGATGTCCCCAGACTTTCTGTATTACATCTTGATACTACTACTACTTCCGGTGCTGGGACAAGTCATAACCATGGTGGGTCTTCTCTTATTAGACAAAAAAGACAATTGACACCTCGAAGTCAAAACAACTTTTCCCCTTTTATAACCCAGGAAGATGCAACTCCGCTTACTGCCACTGCTTCCACTTCTTCCTCCCAACGACAAAATATTCGAGACCGTACATTAACTTCCACAGACAATACCCGTAGAACTGTTTCCTCTAGAGGTCGAGTAAGATTTAGGCAACCAGATTCCATTGTTCAGCCTCATAGAAGAAATCCAGTGAGAGGAGGTAGCCCATCAAGAGTTAGACAACCTAGTCAGGTAAGAGTTAGACAGAGGGTTAGCTCTGTACAAGCTAGGCAAGATGACGACAGTCTGTTTCGTGTAAGACAGGCGTTCGTACCTGCTGTGAGTGCACCAAGAATCACTCCAGTACCCAGTGTTCGTGTTCATGAGTTAGTGAGTGGTAGTCAACAGAGACATCCAGTATTAGAGAGGCAGAGTAACCCATCAGTAGGATCCAGGCAGCGAGATAGAGTTCGTGTTTCAAGACCAAGGCCAACTAACCTTGGTCAAGTGACGAGACACAGGCCAATGGTTTTTCAGACTTTTACACAAGACTCCTCTACTGATAGTCTTGCCCACCACAATACTTTCATACAAGACACTGTTTCAGAGACTCCTCCTTCGCAGTTAGCTGACCCTCCTGTTACTCCAATACCCCCCACATTCTTGACAGCCGAATTCCCCCCTGACAGCCACATCAGTGTCTTTGACGGGGATCAGGCAACAGCTAGGACGACGGACTCCACCTCCACCAGTACTGCCGACTTCACTATCACAACAACAACAACACCATCACCACCGTTCGTGTTCCCAGAGACTAGCTTCTCCTGTCTAGACAAGATTCCAGGTGGATTATATGCTGATGTTGAGGCAGAATGCGCCGTCTTTCATATCTGTTCAGTGGAACCAGACTCAAGGTAAGTGCAATATAGTACTGTACAGGATATTCTATTGTATAACATGGTATATGTTTTAGTAATCAAGGGGTTTCATTACTTTATATTGTGCTATACTATTTAAATATTCAGGATATTCTACTATATATTTAACAGGATACTGTATTTAGTATGGTACCGGTACTCAAGGGTTTCATGACTTAAAACACTCACTATACAGTACTAAATACTCAAGACATTTATTCAGTTTATATTATGATGTTTATTTTAGTACTCAAGGGGTTTCAATACGTTTATACACACATTATACTACGAAGTACTTTCTTTATATTACACCCTTGAATTATATATCTAATACAGATACTAAACAGGTCGTTAAATGTAAGATGAATTTATTAAAATATGAAATAAACTTGTGAAATTTACAAAGGTCAGATGAGCTTTTAGTATAAAGAATTGTCTCTGATATCCTGTTTTGTTTTCTAGCGCAAAGGATAACAAGTTTGTGTGTGGTTCAGGAACTTTGTTTGACCAGAAGAGCCGCACATGCCAGACTGCTGCTCTGGTTGATTGTGCATCAGCTGCTTCCTTCTACTACCTCAACGACCCTCTTAAGGGACCAGGTACAACCCCCGTATCATTACATGTTAGGGAAAATCTTGGACAGAAATAAATTTTATTGTTTCCCCCAAATTATGGATTTTAAATAATTTTGAGAGTAAACCCCTCTCATCAACCATTACTGCAGCAGTTCACTATCAATGAGGTCAACTTGCATATACAGTATCTATATTTGTACAGTACCTGTACTGTACTTGTTTCTGGTACTTTATCTAACTTAATGTTTATGGCTCCTGGTACTGAACATACTTTGGACTTGAGGCCTTGTACTTGTACTACTAAATGCAATACTTTATTCAACTTGCTTTTTATGGCTCCCGGTACAGTATATACTTCAAAAACATTTTGAGTTCTTATACTACAAAATATTTTCATCTGAACTGTTTTATCCTTTTTTCTTGCAGTCTATTTAGAACTTGAAACCCAACATCCTGAACAGCGGTTTGATTTTCCTCGTATCCTTAAACATTCCTCCTCCCCCTCTTCCATCTCCTCTCAACGTGGCCGTCGCAGTGCAGGTAAACAAAGAGTCTCATGCGTTGCTTGATGAACGACAACAACAAGACAGACACCTTGACATAGCCTTTGAGTCTCATGTGTTGCTTGATGAATACAACAAGACAGACACCTTGACATAGCCTTTGAGTCTCATGTGTTGCTTCATGAACTACAACAAGACAGACACCTTGACGTAGCCTTTGAGTCTCATGTGTTGCTTCATGAACTACAACAAGACAGACACCTTGACGTAGCCTTTGAGTCTCATGTGTTGCTTGATGAACTACAACAAGACAGACACCTTGACATAGCCTTTGAGTCTCATGTGTTGCTTCATGAACTACAACAAGACAGACACCTTGACATAGCCTTTGAGTCTCATGTGTTGCTTGATGAACTACAACAAGACAGACACCTTGACATAGCCTTTGAGTCTCATGTGTTGCTTGATGAACTACAACAAGACAAACACCTTGACATAGCCTTTGAGTCTCTGTTGAGAACTCTGACATGTTGTTGCTTGATGAACTACAACAAGACAGACACCTTGACATAGCCTTTGAGTCTCATGTGTTGCTTCATGAACTACAACAAGACAGACACCTTGACATAGCCTTTGAGTCTCATGTGTTGCTTCATGAACTACAACAAGACAGACACCTTGACATAGCCTTTGAGTCTCATGTGTTGCTTCATGAACTACAACAAGACAGACACCTTGACATAGCCTTTGAGTCTCATGTGTTGCTTCATGAACTACAACAAGACAGACACCTTGACATAGCCTTTGAGTCTCATGTGTTGCTTGATGAACTACAACAAGACAAACACCTTGACATAGCCTTTGAGTCTCATGTGTTGCTTCATGAACTACAACAAGACAGACACCTTGACATAGCCTTTGAGTCTCATGTGTTGCTTGATGAACTACAACAAGACAGACACCTTGACATAGCCTTTGAGTCTCATGTGTTGCTTGATGAACTACAACAAGACAGACACCTTGACATAGCCTTTGAGTCTCATGTGTTGCTTGATGAACTACAACAAGACAAACACCTTGACATAGCCTTTGAGTCTCATGTGTTGCTTCATGAACTACAACAAGACAGACACCTTGACATAGCCTTTGAGTCTCATGTGTTGCTTGATGAACTACAACAAAACAGACACCTTGACATAGCCTTTGAGTCTCATGTGTTGCTTCATGAACTACAACAAGACAGACACCTTGACATAGCCTTTGAGTCTCATGTGTTGCTTGATGAACTACAACAAGACAGACACCTTGACACATAGCCTTTGGAAGGTCTCATGTGTGTTTGCTTGATGAACTATAACAAGACAGACACCTTGACATAGCCTTTGAGTCTCATGTATTTAGCGATGAACCAACAACCAGACAAACACCTTGACACTTAGCCTTTGAGTCTCATGCGTTTGTGATGAACTACAACCGAACCAGACACGGCGCCTTTGAGTCTCATGGCATTTTGCTTGATGAACTACAACTTAACCGAATAAGCACCTTGACATAGCCTTTGAGTCTCATGCATTTGCTTGATGAACTACAACAAAGACAGACACCTTGACGCCTTCAGGTCTCATGTGTTGTGATGAACTATAACAAGACAGACACCAGCCTCCTTTGGAGTCTCATGTGTTGGCTATGAACTACAACAGACAGACACCTTGACATAGCCTTTGAGTCTCATGTGTTGCTTCATGAACTACAACAAGACAGACACCTTGACGTAGCCTTTGAGTCTCATGTGTTGCTTCATGAACTACAATAAGACAGACACCTTGACATAGCCTTTGAGTCTCATGTGTTGCTTCATGAACTACAACAAGACAGACACCTTGACATAGCCTTTGAGTCTCATGTGTTGCTTCATGAACTACAACAAGACAGACACCTTGACGTAGCCTTTGAGTCTCATGTGTTGCTTGATGAACTACAACAAGACAGACACATTGACATAGCCTTTGAGTCTCATGTGTTGCTTCATGAACTACAACAAGACAGACACCTTGACATAGCCTTTGAGTCTCATGTGTTGCTTCATGAACTACAACAAGACAGACACCTTGACATAGCCTTTGAGTCTCATGTGTTGCTTCATGAACTATAACAAGACAGACACCTTGACATAGCCTTTGAGTCTCATGTGTTGCTTCATGAACTACAACAAGACAGACACCTTGACATAGCCTTTGAGTCTCATGTGTTGCTTCATGAACTACAACAAGACAAACACCTTGACATTGCCTTTGAGTCTCATGTGTTGCTTCATGAACTACAACAAGACAGACACCTTGACATTGCCTTTGAGTCTCATGTGTTGCTTGATGAACTACAACAAGACAGACACCTTGACGTAGCCTTCGAGTCTCTTGTGTTGCTTGATGAACTACAACAAGACAGACACCTTGACATAGCCTTTGAGTCTCATTCATTGCTTGATGAACTACAACAAGACAAACACCTTGACATAGCCTTTGAGTCTCATGTGTTGCTTCATGAACTACAACAAGACAGACACCTTGACATAGCCTTTGAGTCTCATGCATTGCTTGATGAACTACAACAAGACAGACACCTTGACCTGTAGCTGAGTTACATGTTTGCTTGATGAACTACAGCAACAAGGCAGACACCTTGACTAGCCTTTGAGTCTCATGTGTTGCTTGATGAACTACAAGACACATCAGCCTGTACTGAGTCTCATGTTTCTTCTACATGAACTACAACAAGACAAACACCTTGACATAGCCTTTGAGTCTCTGCGTTTGTGATGAACTACAACCGAACAGACACCTTGACATAGCCTTTGAGTCATGTGTTTGCTTGATGAACTTCCCCAACAATGAGCCAGACACCTTGACATAACCTTTGGAGTCTCATGCGTTGTGATGAACTACAACAGACAGACACCTTGACATAGCCTTTGGAGGTCTCGTTGCTTGATGAACTACAACAAGACAGACACCTTGACATAGCCTTTGAGTCTCATGCGTTGCTTGATGAACTACAACAAGACAGACACCTTGACGTAGCCTTTGAGTCTCATGCGTTGCTTGATGAACTACAACAAGACAAACACCTTGACATAGCCTTTGAGTCTCATGCGTTGCTTGATGAACTACAACAAGACAGACACCTTGACATAGCCTTTGAGTCTCATGCGTTGCTTGATGAACTACAACAAGACAGACACCTTGACGTAGCCTTTGAGTCTCATGTGTTGCTTGATGAACTACAACAAGACAAACACCTTGACATAGCCTTTGAGTCTCATGCGTTGCTTGATGAACTACAACAAGACAGACACCTTGACATAGCCTTTGAGTCTCATGCGTTGCTTGATGAACTACAACAAGACAGACACCTTGAGGAAGCCTTTGGAGTCTCATGTATGTTTCCATGAACTACAACAAGACAAAACACCTTGACATAGCCTTTGAGTCTCATGTGTTGCTTCATGAACTACAACAAGACAGACACCTTGACATAGCCTTTGAGTCTCATGTGTTGCTTGATGAACTACAACAAGACAGACACCTTGACATAGCCTTTGAGTCTCATGTGTTGCTTGATGAACTACAACAAGACAAACACCTTGACATAGCCTTTGAGTCTCATGTGTTGCTTCATGAACTACAACAAGACAGACACCTTGACATAGCCTTTGAGTCTCATGTGTTGCTTGATGAACTACAACAAAACAGACACCTTGACATAGCCTTTGAGTCTCATGTGTTGCTTCATGAACTACAACAAGACAGACACCTTGACATAGCCTTTGAGTCTCATGTGTTGCTTGATGAACTACAACAAGACAGACACCTTGACATAGCCTTTGAGTCTCATGTGTTGCTTGGATGAACTAGCAACAACAAGACAAACACCTTGACATAGCCTTTGAGTCTCATGCTTGCTTGATGAACTACAACAAGACAGACACCTTGACATAGCCTTGAGTCTCATGTGTTGCTTGATGAACTACAACAAGACAGACACCTTGACATAGCCTTTGAGTCTCATGTGTTGCTTCATGAACTACAACAAGACAGACACCTTGACATAGCCTTTGAGTCTCATGTGTTGCTTCATGAACTACAACAAGACAGACACCTTGACATAGCCTTTGAGTCTCATGTGTTGCTTCATGAACTACAACAAGACAAACACCTTGACATTGCCTTTGAGTCTCATGTGTTGCTTCATGAACTACAACAAGACAGACACCTTGACATTGCCTTTGAGTCTCATGTGTTGCTTGATGAACTACAACAAGACAGACACCTTGACGTAGCCTTCGAGTCTCTTGTGTTGCTTGATGAACTACAACAAGACAGACACCTTGACATAGCCTTTGAGTCTCATGTGTTGCTTGATGAACTACAACAAGACAAACACCTTGACATAGCCTTTGAGTCTCATGTGTTGCTTCATGAACTACAACAAGACAGACACCTTGACATAGCCTTTGAGTCTCATGCATTGCTTGATGAACTACAACAAGACAGACACCTTGACATAGCCTTTGAGTCTCATGTGTTGCTTGATGAACTACAACAAAGACACCTTGACATAGCCTTTGAGTCTCATGTGTTGCTTATGAATCACAAGACAGACACCATAGCCTTTGAGTCTCATGTGTTGCTTGATGAACTACAACAAGACAGACACCTTGACATAGCCTTTGAGTCTCATGTGTTGCTTCATGAACTACAACAAGACAGACACCTTGACTATAGCCTTTGAGTCTCATGTGTTGCTTGATGAACTACAACAAGACAGACACCTTGACATAGCCTTTGAGTCTCATGTGTTGCTTCATGAACTACAACAAGACAGACACCTTGACATAGCCTTTGAGTCTCATGTGTTGCTTGATGAACTACAACAAGACAGACACCTTGACATAGCCTTTGAGTCTCATGTGTTGCTTGATGAACTACAACAAGACAGACACCTTGACATAGCCTTTGAGTCTCATGTGTTGCTTCATGAACTACAACAAGACAGACACCTTGACATAGCCTTTGAGTCTCATGTGTTGCTTGATGAACTACAACAAGACAGACACCTTGACATAGCCTTTGAGTCTCATGTGTTGCTTGATGAACTACAACAAGACAGACACCTTGACATAGCCTTTGAGTCTCATGTGTTTTGATGAACTACAACAAGACAGACACCTTGACATAGCCTTTGAGTCTCATGTGTTGCTTCATGAACTACAACAAGACAGACACCTTGACATAGCCTTTGAGTCTCATGTGTTGCTTGATGAACTACAACAAGACAGACACCTTGACATATGAGTCTCTTGATTGACCTTGTAGCCTCATGTGTTGCTTGATGAACTACAACAAGACAGACACCTTGACGTAGCCTTTGAGTCTCATGCGTTGCTTGATGAACTACAACAAGACCTTGAAAGCCTTTGAGTCTCCTTGATGAACTACAACAAGACAACACCATAGCCTTTGAGTCTCATGCGTTGCTTGATGAACTACAACAAGACAGACACCTTGACATAGCCTTTGAGTCTCATGCGTTGCTTGATGAACTACAACAAGACAGACACCTTGACGTAGCCTTTGAGTCTCATGTGTTGCTTGATGAACTACAACAAGACAAACACCTTGACATAGCCTTTGAGTCTCATGCGTTGCTTGATGAACTACAACAAGACAGACACCTTGACATAGCCTTTGAGTCTCATGCGTTGCTTGATGAACTACAACAAGACAGACACCTTGACGTAGCCTTTGAGTCTCATGTGTTGCTTGATGAACTACAACAAGACAAACACCTTGACATAGCCTTTGAGTCTCATGTGTTGCTTGATGAACTACAACAAGACAGACACCTTGACATAGCCTTTGAGTCTCATGTGTTGCTTGATGAACTACAACAAGATAAACACCTTGACATAGCCTTTGAGTCTCATGTTGTTGTGCTACTGAATGTATTATTGATATGGATTATTTTTAGCCGTATTGTATACTTACCCAATTACCCATTATCATTGGTATTGTACTATTATCCAATAAATTTTACTGAGTTTGTATTATTACTGATATTTTTATTGATCTGCAAAATTGCCACTGTACAGATCGCAGAGTTGACCTGTGTAGCAGCAGTCTCCCGCACAAACCACAGGTTATTTCGGAAACTAAATGCAGAGAATTTGTTGTGTGTAAGCTTCAGGCTAATGGCACATTTAAGGAAATGCGTAAGCTTTGCAAGAAAGACTACCTCTTTTCCCCGATCCGACACAAATGTTATCACGCCAACAAAGTGAGTGTATCGTTATTTTTTATTGAGCCTTATTATTTGATACAATAAGTGTTTATATATAATAATAATATAATAATAATACTTAATAATAATAATGATGATAATATTTATTCAATAAAGTTGTCATACAGATTTACAATTAGATAAGCATGATTATAAACTATGCCGGCAAACAGTTCAACATGAATATAAACAGTGCAGGTAGGCCGTGGGACTGTGGGAGTATACAGTTTCCTGTGTGAAGAGACAGTGTTGCAGGTTATGCAGCCTAACTTAACTTAACCTACCTTAACCTAAATTTATAATTAATATATTTTATTATCTATCACAGGTACATTGTGACAAGGAGACAAAGATGGCAAGTAATAGCTTGAAAGCTTTGAATTCACTAGGAGGCCGATGGAAAAGACGCGCTGCCTCTCTCCTACGCTCTCGTAGGTTCCGCCGTGCAGCCCTGCCACCCTTAGCCAACTTGGTGATGACACCAGGGGTTGAAGATGCCCGTGTACGTCGTGCCCTCTACAGTCTCGCTGCACTTCAACAATGGACCTTAGAAAATGCCAAACACTCCACTTTTATTGAAGTTTATGCCTTGCAGACTGATGGTGATGGGAAAGTTGATCATTATCCAAAGAAAGTTTATGTTGATAGTACGGTTCTTCTAACTAGTCCCGGGGCAGTACAGAGGTACGGGTATATCCATCGTAAGAGGAGAGATGTTGCCAATATCACTGTAGCAGAACAAGTACTCACTGGGAATACAACGAAAGTTGAAGATACACTAGCTCCAACTGCTGTCTTAACATCATCCGGAAATACAGAAAAAGAGACTAATGTTGAACAAACTGATATTGTCATTAACACAACAACATCTGTAGGTTCTCTGACTCTGCCAACTATTGCTACTACAACTATTAGCTCAAGACCTACAGCCCTTCCAACGGTAACGGTTACAAAACGCAAAGACACACCATCAGTTGTTTTTGTCAGTTCATTTAACCCTGCAATACCCACAGCTTTTCCAACTTTTACGCCCACAACATTATCAACTTTTGTTCCCACAACTTTCATACCCAGGACCTTATCCACTTTCACTATATCTCCAGTACACACCTCAGTGAAGATTCCCACCGACACTGCAACACGGGTTACCGTGACTGTTACAACTACAAAAACGATTGTACCAACGTCTATAAGCAATATGCATACAGAAATTTCACCTACAGGTACAGCTGGTACACATTCTTCTGTATCCTTAACTACAGCTTTTCCTACTCCATCTTCTACAACGAGAAAGGTTAATTCTGTAGATGAAGTTACTTCACCACCAGCACCATCAGCAGTAGGCACAACTCTCCCAAATACAAACTTAGAGACCACTACATCTGGGACACAACCAACTTCTGAGTCTGACCCCATATCACCCATGGAATCTCCACCAACTCCACCATCTGTTAGAGAAAGTGATACTACAGTACAAAATTTAATTTATACGAGCTCAACGACCACGTCAACGAGTCTAGAAGTTGGAGAATCTCCAGTTAGTTCTCCAACAACTCCTCCGGCCATTGACACAACTACTGGAATTATTAAGGTAACAGAATCTACCACTTCAGAATCCACCTCTACAACTGAAGGTGGTCAATCATCTTCAACAGTGAGCACAACCACCGCTGCAGTCACCCCATCTACAGCTAATGGAACGGATGACCAAAATGAAAATACTACAGTTTCCAATAATATCACCATAACTTCTACTACTGAAAGCCTTTTTTCAGAAGATGTTCAAACAGCAGGGAGTGTAAATGTGTCGACAACTGAGGCACCAAAGGACACCACTGTGTCCGATAATTCCACAACAACAGCAGCATCACCATCTGCCACCTTCGATAGGGAGAACTTACCTGAAACAAATTTCACTTGTAAAGACAAGAAACTGGAACAATTTTATCCTGATCCCGAGGCCAATTGTCAAGTATTCCACTACTGTTCACCAGGATTCAACAAAAAGCAAGTTCTTGATCTTAAATTCCTCTGCACTGGGGCCACTATGTTTGATATCAATACTCAAAAGTGTGAGGACATGGAAAAAGTTACTTGTAGTTTCGACACATCAAGATCTCATAACATCACAACTTCAACTACGGTCTCTCCTGTGACAAACACTATGACACCGAATGTTACTAAAACTACTACTACTTCTACAACTACTTCTTCTACTACTTCTACTATTACTCCTGAATCCGAAACAACACCAGAGGACAAAACTCTATCATCCAACACAACTACTGAAGCTACAACAACAAAAACATCAAAAAGTACAACAGAAATACCCAAAGTCAATGATACCACAAGTAAACACAACTGGAATGCTACAACTTCGGATCATCATCATCTCCCAGATCCTGAAGTAGCAGCTGAAGATTACAATACTACTACTACTACTACTCCTACACAGATATCGGATACAACTCAACAATCAACTCCAGAAACAACGACTCTAGTAGATGAACTCCAGGTAACAACTATAGTACCTTTATTGGAAACTACAGAAAACTCAAACCCGGAAACTGTCACAGTAACGTATGAGTCCTTATTGAAACACCAGGAAGAAGATGTAGCAACAGATAATGAAGAACTAATTACTACTACAGTTATACCTACAGAAGGATATATAACCGAGACAAATACTCCACAGACAGACACAGTAACTGAACGAGATGCTAGAGAAGAAATATCAACAAGTACTATGGGAGGTTTCGATGAGGCTATTGTCACTGTTACTGAATTCACACTTGAAGACAATAATGACCTTGAAATAAGCACAGAACTTGGTCCCATCTTCGATCCTGAGACTGTAGATGAGGCAGCAGTATTCAACCCTGTAACAGAAGATGTAAATGATATTCCAACAACAGAATTGAATAATGTGGATGTTGGTACAGAAGCTACCACCTTGAGTCCGACTGTTAATATCCCACAGACGTCTACAGACGTATCGGTGTCAACGAATATATCCGCCTTCAGTAATCATTCCGCGTCTAGTGAAACCTCAATGTCCAGTGATGTATCCGTGTCTAGTAATGTGTCTGTGTCTACCAATCATAATGGAACAGAAGCAGAAGCAGTAGCATTGTAAAAGTCCATTAGTAATGGACTAGAAGGGTATTAATGACATGTCTTGATTCATGTCCATATTACTGTAATATTTTTTTGTTTATTTATTCCTGAAAAATATCAGTATAGGGTTATGTGAGAATATGCCTCTTAATCATATATTCCGTGCCAAAAAATATATAGTTGCCTACTTTATAGAATCTTAGGAGCACATATAAAAAAAACATTCCACATGGTAGTAGAAAAAATTTCATCTCTGTGATACACTAATCAAGTAGGTCAACACTATACAGGGGAGGAGAACCATGTACTATACAGTGAAACCTCCATATAATGGACTTTTCTCAATATATTCCGTTAGATGGAGGATTTCATATCTAATGAACCCTCAATATAACGGACTTTCATCCCTATAAATCATAGTTAGATGGAGGTTTCATATCTAACAGACCCTTGATATAACGGAATTTCCTCCCCCATATAGTCCGTTAAATAGAGATTTCATTGTATTCCGTTTTACTAATAATTAATCATAAAACTATGTTATGTGTGCCGGATGTGTAATACTCAGACTTTGTCCTTCACTAATTTTCTGTTCTTGTTCTGTTCACTACAACACTGTATTATTGTTCGTAACCTAAAGTCAACAAGTTGTAAGGTATTTGGAGTGTTGTGTCAAGGTTGTGGGGTTGTATAGTCCAGTATTGTTCAGTAAAGGGAGAGAAAACGGACAAGTGTTGGCGTCCATTCTATTCACTAATACATCATCCTCTTTGAAAATCATAGTTAGATATTTGCAGAAGAATATTTTGAACTAATGGACGGTATACGACTTAGAAAAACGCTCTGTGGCGGAATTCCACAGGGTGATTTTCAGGGATATAATTTTGGTTGTGCAGGGCTTCTGTAAAGTGATGGGGCTCTACCAGATACTCTTGTAGGCAGGTGAAGGGTGCCTTTTGATAGCCCTAAGGAGTGTAGCTATGTATAAACTCTGTCTATACAGTATACGTAATATGCCAAGGGACACAATATCCTTACAAACATACAGAATAATGTATCGGTCTACTGCTTCGGGTTCCCAAGTCAGAATATCTCTGGGGTTCGTGGTTCAGGGGGAGAGGCGAATGGACTTCAGTAGTTGACTGTACAGTGCTAGAAATTTTTTTATAAGGTTATTATTACTGATTGTTTTGAAATATGGACAATGAAAACACTTGTTTAAATTGATAATAATACGGTTGTCAATATTTCAGTAATAATAAAACACTGCAATTAGATTTTAGAGGAAGAAAGAAAAAGTACAGTACATCTATAGTAAAATATAATAGTATGTCATGCATTGAGATAAAGTTTTCTGTTAACCAAAGTGGTAATAGTGGAGCAGACGATTAGCAACCAGAAGGACATTATAGAATTCGTTCATTTATTTGTGTATGGGTTCTTTATCGTTTTGCAACTTGTCTGTGCTTGTGGAGGATAAAGACCACCTCCAAAGAGTTCATCTGTCAACATGGACAAGTTGGCAGGATGTGTAAGTCATCAAAATGCGACAGAGAACTGACTGTGAAGAAGAAATATATGTTTCAGTGCAACAACTGATAAATGTAAAATTACAACATGCCGCTTCAAGAAAGTTGCTTTCATTGGTACCGGATATCAAAGTAAGTTCTTTCTTCATGATATACGGGGGGGGGGGGTCCTTAGGTAGTATAGGTCAGGTTCTGTTAGGTTCTATGCATTGTCGTTTCCATTTCCGTGTTTAGAATCATGCAAAATAGTATTTCAAGAAATTTTGGTACAATTCTATAAAATCCTTCTGGTGCTAACTAATTACCAAAAAATTAATCAACATAATTTTTTTTTCAAGAACTTGACCTTCCTTATAGCTTGTATACTGATGGGACCAGACAGTGTAGTGATATAACTAAATTGAGAATGTGAATTATACATTAGTTTGTGAGTTTTGGCTATGCTGTTAAGAATGTCACTTACTTCAATGTTAGTGCCAGATTTGTATGAAACAGATTTTTGTTTTTAATAAACTACTTAATATTATCTGAAACTGTATTTCATGTGCAATCTTATTCATTAATAACTTTAAGGAATCCATTACATTAATGTTCTAAGGTTCATATATTTTTTCTTTATTTTTTGTATCAATATTTTATGTCCTTTCTCCCAATAATATTATTTTTAGGACCAGAGTCAATATATGATGGTACAGTCAACTACTAGAAAAAATAAGTCCGTTTGCCTCTTCCTCAGCCACGAACCCCCGAGATATTCAGACCCGTGAATCCGAAGCATTTATGTACAGAATCACGATATCGGTTACTGCTTCGGGTTCATGAGTCCGAATCTCTCAGGGGTTCAGGGGGAGAGGCGAATGGGCTTTTTTTTTTTAGTTGATTCTACATCTCTCGCAGTATTGAATATGATTTACACTTTTTTCCCCAATGTAGACTTAATACTGATTAGACGATGAATGAAGTGAATAGTGTTATCACATTTGCTATATCAATATCCGCAAGCAGATACATTCCATACTAGAATAAAAATTGCATTTGCATTATCCAAACACATTGCTTCAGCTTCGTGTAAGACAGCACACCAAGCACTTCCCCCCCACACTTTTATATTAACCACACAATTTGCTTCAGAATTACCTATGATACCGTTGAAACAGTTTCACATACACAAACGTCTCTGTAATTATAATAGAAATACAAAGCCTGTATTAGATGTCTTTCTGTGTTATGTACAACAGGGTTCCCACACACACACACTAGTGGTAAAACAAATAGGTTTTCTTTAATATACAGTATAGTACTGTACTGATGTTTTAGTCAAAGCATAGGTAATGTAACATTATATTCAGTTTCTTGTCAGAGTGGCCTCCTCCCCCCTCCCCCTCCTATCCCTGTTCCCGCCCCCCTCCTGTCCCTGTTCCCATCCCATTCCTATCCCTGTTCCCGTCCCCCTCCTATCCCTGTTCCCGTACCCTTCCTCTTCCCCGTCCCCTTCCTCTTCCCCGTCCCATTCCTCTTCCCTGTACCCCATCCCCTCCACCACCCCTTCTCCTCCTCCTCCTCCTCCTCCTTCCTCCTTTTCCTCCCTTTCTCCTTCTCCCCTTCCTCCTTCCCCTGCCCATCCCCCTCCCTCCTCCTCCTTTTCCTTTTTGTCACCTAATCCACTAGCTTTGTTTTGTTTTAAAAAGATGGGCTGCCCCTGATGTTAGAGATCAGATGAAAGTTTATTTATGGTCACAGTGATGAGCCTCGTATCACCAGCAGTAAGAAGCCGTTTAACTTTTATCATAAATATTTTACAACATTTAAGAATACCTAAGTAAATTTTTTCTTCACAAAATCATATAAAGGTACAACTCGACTTAGACAACCCAGACATACGACCGCCGTGGTCTTATAAAATATTTGTCAAATTATGTATTTTCTAGTACCTACGTTTGTGATCACGCTGTGTACTGACAAAAGTTTCATTTGTATTCCCTTTAAAATGGCTGGCAAGCGTAAAAGTGAGAGTTCTCGTGGTGCTGAAAAGAAAAAGAGACACCCATTTTAGAATTTCTATGTATTATTTTCGCATTTTCGACTTACAACCAATTCGACTTACGAACTGGTCGTCTGGACAGAACCCCGTCGTAGGTCGAGGAGAGACTACATAAGAGTATGCACATTATATTTATGTTTAAATAAAAAAACACTTGAGGATGTAAAGAATTTATATTGATGTTAGTTATGGGGCTTTGTATTCTTACCCATCAGATATTAGTGATATGGTTTTAATTAGGCACAAGTAACCCAGGATTTTATTCACGTATTCTGCCATAAAGTATTTTCTCTTCCAGACTACTATATTGTATTATACTTTCATTGTTTATCCCATAAGTACTTCTGTTATGATGTGAAAGATAATTTATACAAACTCAGACTAAGGCTGAGAAGTACACTTGTTGTGTACCTTATAACATTCAATGCTATAAATTGGTACTTTTCTTCAAGCTAATTACAATAATCTTATTTACTGCTTTTCATAATAATAATAAAATTATTTGTGAAAGATGGTTCATATGTTCCATGGTATAGTCAGCCCAAGTGGGAACTGTGACAAAATATTCTCTGGTGTTAGGAAGATGTGGAAGCCCCTCCGTAGTAAACACACGGAGGGGCTTCCTTATGTATCGTCCAGATGTCACTATCCTGTATATAGTTTCTAGGTTCTGTGCGGATGTCCACCACTCTAACCTGAATGAAAATAGGGACACACATTATTGATCACAAAGGTAAACGTTCTATACCTAAAGATGCAGAACAGGGTTAGAAATTTATGGGTCTAAAGGAATTTTCTGATAGTTTGTGTGTACAGTATAGATACTAAAGGTGTATGCAAATTTGACTTAACAGGTTATTAATGAAAGGAACTTAAGCATGTGACTTTATCACTTCATATCACTACATGTACATTATTTTTGGTAAGTGACAAATTGTTTCTTAATACAATACAGTATTGTAATAAAGAAAACTTTTTTATTTTTGAAAAGGAAATTCTATTTAACCACCATATGTATGGGGTTCTCTCTCTGAGCTGAATTAAATCGTTTGGCATAATGAAGGGGTAATACAGTAACTCCCTATTACATTAATAAACTAAAACCCCCCTATCTAGTGCATGACACATTACTGTAACATAACTGAACACTGCTGGCTGAGGAAGATAGTGTAAATATTGTAACGTTAGCTCTTCTGGTTTGGTTAGGTAACTTACTGTTCATCCTTTCATTGTATACCTATGACTATTTTTTGTCTGTTAATTCAGTTGATTATTATATTTTATTTCACTTCAACAGTAAACAGAACTTGATAGACCACCACATTGCTGCCTCAGACTAAATGAATTGACTTTTCACTATTACCCATTTTCTATAACATCCCACGATATTTGAGGAGTTGGGAACCTTGTAGTAATAATAGGATTGTTACATCTAATTTGGGTAAAGTAGGTGGGCTACCAACTCCATGACGTATGGTTGTGTACCAGCAGACTATAAACTAATGATTAGAAAAAAAGGTAAAAACCGAGCTAGCAAATGAATAATTTATATGAAAAAACAAAGCAGACATAAATGAATACTGTACAAGCATAATGTTTAATTAATCAACATTAGAAATTGACCTTGAATAAAAATAATTGCACAAAGATGTACAAGACTTAGGTAAAAATACAATGCTTAATACAGTATTTTATATAATTATAGTAACTGTTAGACAACTGTATTATGCTGAAATTATTATAGAGAATAGATCTACTCTTATATATAATTATGATAGGATTATTATTATTATTATTATTCCCCATGTAATGGATACTTTAGATTGTATGCATGAAGGATAAATGTGTAACAAATATTTTTTGTCTCTACTATGACAAGAGTGTCCAAGGCATTTAGAAGAATTAAATCGTATTACCGGGTTGCTCAATTTCCCATTTTTCTGTCAATCTATATCCCCATGCAGCATTAGTCTGTTAGGTAATGCTGTCAGGCTATGTAATGTAGATAAACCTTGAGAGGCAGAATACATGCAGTGCAGCCTGAAAATTGAGCCGAGATATTCAGGCATACGCCCTTGCTATTATTTTATGGGCCTTGTGCGATCTATGGGCTCAATGAGTATGAGTGAATTGTTATTACACTGATGTTGGATACCATTGGAAGTGTGTGTGTGGGTGTGTTTGGTTGTGGGCATAACTGTCTTCCGGATGTTGTGGATTAATGTACAGTGAAACCTCTATTTAATGGACTGTATGGAGAGGAATGTCCGTTATATCGAGAGGTCTTTTGTGATGTGAAACCTCCAGCTAACGAACTTTACAGAGTTGAAATTCTGTTATATCAAGAGTGAAACTCCATCTAACGGATTATATGGAAAGAAAATTTCGTTAAATAGAGATTTCACTGTAGCTTGTTGCAATGATGTCAACTGTCATGTATACTGTAATGTATATTGTCGATTAAAAAACTATAAATTATTTTGGGGGTCGATGATTTTCAGAATGAACACTGCGAATTCTGTTGTCTCTGTAGGGTTGTCAAAATCCTTCTCCATTGTGTCATATTGTCAAACATAATTTTTGTAAAGATAGTTTTTTGAGCGACTGTGACATGTTCCTTATAAAACGACTGAGAAACATAAATATGACAAGGACATGATAGTCATACATACTCATTTGTATGATTTGTCTTGATCCTGGAAGCTTCATACACAAACAGTCAGTTGAAATAACACCAAAGTCATTATATGGCCGTGTTTATTCTTTGACCCCTTAAGATATATAAAGAGATCAGTGATTTTAAACTTTATTAACTTTTATCAAAGGTAATTTTTGTGTATCGAGTCTAAATCACTGATCTCTCCCATATCGATGTAAAATGTGATAACGTTTGTAAGCATTACATCATAAAGTTTGATTCTTTCAATGAGATTCAAAGTTCACAGTTTTTGTAAATAGTCGTGAATCTTTTTGAAACACTCAGCTAAATGCAAATATAATATCCCACTGTAATGGCAGAAATGAATATTGACGGCTTCATGCATTTGTGATTATATTTATTGTAGTATAAATATATATATCATTTTTTTGCATTGTCTCCATCCCTGATTCTTTTTATCTTGCCTTTCAGTAAACACTGATGACTTTGTTACATTCTTGTATTTTTTTCCCATTTAAGCAGTGCAACAAACATGACTCCAGTTTAGTCCTGGCAAAAGAACAAGGTCAAGTTTCTATTATTACTGAATTTGCCACCGATCATTCTGACTGTGCCTGCCTATAGTGCTCCTGTTTACCGTCTATTTAGCTTTGGAGAGATAATGGCGAGACCTCAGAGATGCTGAACATCAGCATCATGTATGTAATAAGCCTTCTCATATATTAGATAAACAGAAGTACGTATATCTAATTATTAATATTTGTACCATGAAACAGAAAAAAATACAAATAATATGGCAGTTGGTAAATATTCCCATGTTTTAAGA